AGTGTGACAGTGGCGGCGCCCCAACCCCCTGATGGGCCCTGCTCTGTGCATGACAGGGGGCGGCGCCCCAACTCCCCAATTGGCCCTGCTCTGAGCCCGACCAGGGGCTGCACCTAGGGATTGGGCCTGCCCTCTGCCACCCGGGAGCAGGCCTAAGCCAGCAGGTCGTTATCTCCCGAGGGGTCCCAGACTGCGAGAGGGCACAGGCCGGGCTGAGGGACCCCCCTTCCCCCCCCCAAGTGCACAAATTTTTGTGCACCGGGCCTCTAGTCTATATATATAAAAGCCTAAACAACTGTTACTGCCAAAGGACCGGAACAACTGGTCACTATGACGTGCACTGACCACCGGGGTCAGATGCTCAATACAGGAGCTGCCCCCTGGTGGTCAGTGCACTCCCACAGCCAACCTCTCGCGGTCCCTCCCCCCGGCCAGTCCCTCCCCTAGGCTAAGGCTCCAGGCACAAGAGAATCTGGGTCTGGGAAGTCTGTAGGAAGAGAGCAAACCTGACGCTGATTGAAACAGAGTAGCAGCTTGGAGGGGGCAGAAGGAGCAAGGCAGCAGCCTAACTGCAAAGACGCAAAGTAAGCACCACCGCCACCTTACCTCTACCACCGCATAGTGCCACTCGCCCTTCTGCCCCTGTCAGCCACTTCTAGCTCGGCCCCGCACCTTTCTGGGCTCCCAACCACTAATTGGCTAGTGCTCCTACAGCGGTGTGCCACCATTGGCCAAAGTCAGCTACCTATCATGCTTGGGAGCAGAGCCCCCAAAAAATGTGCAGCAGAGGTAGGAGAGATGACCTGTCTGTCAGCAACTCCGTCCTGGGGAGAGTGAGATGCTCGAGGGTGGGCAGCAAAATAGAGCTGTATTTCCACCTCAGAGCATAGCTGGTGTTGAGGCCATTTTGGAGCACTCTGTGGTCTTTGCTTGCCACTACCTCAACACATCTACACAACTGGATTGGGGCCTGCCAGCCAACCTCCTGTGGTCCCTCCCCCACCCCCACCCCTGCACGAATTCATGCACCAGGCCTCTAGTATAAATATAAATTACAAATAAAACTAAAGTCTTACTTTGACAAATAGTTTACAGTTTACAGTTCTGTACAACTCCTTACTGCTCCTCTCCAATGAGCTTGATAAGCATTCCAACTGTCTTGATTGGTATAGGTCAGTGGTCGGCAAACTGCGGCTCGCGAGCCACATGCGGCTCTTTGGCCCCTTAGTGTGGCTCTTCCACAAAATACCATTGCGGGCGCACACGTACAGTGTGATTGAAACTTCGTGGCCCATGCACAGAAGTCGGTTTTCGGCCTGGGCGAGTCTATTTTGAAGAAGTGGCGTTAGAAGAAGTGGGGGTACGTTCGCTGAGGTCGACCCCTCAGATTAAGGATGTTTTTAGCAAAGGCCAGCTTAGGAGTACCCTAATTAAGTTAATAACAATGTACCTACCTATATAGTTTAAGTTTAAAAAATTTGGCTCTCAAAAGAAATTTCAATCGTTGTACTGTTGATATTTGGCTCTGTTGACTAATGAGTTTGCCGACCACTGGTATAGGTGAATGTCTGTCTAAACACATGCACACACAAATGTGTGTATATGTAGATGCATATACCTAGACATATAAATGATACAAAGTTTCTTTTTTCACTGTATCATTTAGCAACATATTTTTAATCACTAAAAATTTAATTCAAATACCTAAAATTCTGGGCCTTTTTATTTGACTATTATATTCACAAAATTAGTTACCACGTTGTATTTATTTATTTCTCATGCTCCTCTCATTCCCAAATCCCATCTAGGTGCTTTTGAATCATTGCCACTCAAAACAATGCTGCAAAAACATCTTTAGACCTAGTTTCTTATGTACATAGAGCAAATATTTCTTTGGGGATCAGAACTTTTTCTCTAGAGTTAATCTTTGGAAATGCAAGAGATTATTTTTACTAACCCTTTTTGTTTGCCCTATATGTATATCCTCATTGGCACTTAAATTTCTCTACTGCCATATCTGCAAGAAAGTAAACTAATGCCTCTTGTTGTCTTATAAGTACACAGTCCTCTGTTCCTGTTTGATTAATGAATTAATTGCCTCTCTATGTTGGATGTCCTAGTGTTTCTGTTACATAGTAGATTAATTTTAAATTGTTCTAGTCATGATATCTAGAAAAGATTGTAGTATTTCTTTTTCTTTATAGAGCTAACCTCCCAATTGTATTTGGAAATTTTAGATACTTTTGTTAAGGTGGTAGATGGTGCTTAATGTAACCTCATTGTTTCTTGTTTCCATTATCTTTTTAAGAGAAAATGTGTTTAGGTTATCTTTTCCTCACTCTTCTCATTGTATTTTTGTGTGTTCCCATATATCCTGTTCTTTGGTAACATACTCGCATATTCTTCCCTATTGTGTTTACAAGTCTGAATATCATTTAGACAATAATTCAAGGTTATTTTTCTTCTTTTACCCAAAATTGGAACAAATATAGCAAGACTCTAGGATGAGGCAGATCCCGATTTTTCTTTCACTAGTTTTGTGACCTTTTAGCAGAGTCTTTGGCGTTTAAGTAGTTCATAAACAGCAAAAGCTTGAATAAATGCTATTCAGGCTTTTCTCCAGAAACTTTTTTGGCCAAATTAAAATGAGTAATTTCATAAACAGCGAGGAAATTGAAGAAAAAATATTTATTGCCTTTGGTGTAAACAGCAATGCATATGTATGTGTATTAAGATTTTAAATATGTAGAACAGATTGTAAGATACAGAGTGTATGTTTTCTTTTATAGGTGTTTGTTTTGACCTGCCATTTTAAAAATTAAATCAAAATGCCAATAAGACCAGATCTCCAGGTATGTAGTCCTGGACCAAAAGCAAGTATTTTATTTTAGTCTCTAAAATCATTTTTTGTTTGTTCATAGGTATTAAGTGCTATATTTTTAAGAAAGACAAGCTTTCTTGTTTTTATGAAGAGGTCAAGAGGAGAATAATTTAAATGCAAATGTTATCTTTTTATTTTTAATAGAATTGTTTTCAATATTTAAAAATATTTAAATTATAGACACTAATTATTTATGTGTATATGTATCTATATATCTTTTATATTGAAAAGAATCATGCATTGGTTCATGTTTAAAACTTATGCCTGAATATTATCATATCAAAGTTTAAAATGGTAAGATACTTCATTTAGGTAAAGACTAAGTTTTATCTATTCAATTGCTATGCAGTTCACTCCAAAGTCTGATGATCAGATTGTAGTATGAAAATTACTTATTAATGATGTTTACATTAATACCTGGAATGACAGATTTTGTAAAGGTTATACAGTCATGCGCTGCTTAATGATGGGGATGCTTTCTGAGAAATGCGTCATTAGGCAATTCTGTTGTTGTGTGAACACCATAGTGCATGTACACAAACCTAGGTGGTCTACTACACACGTAGGCTATATGGTATGTAGCCTGTTGCTTCTAGGCTGCAAACCTGTGTAGCTTGTTACTGTACTGAATATTAAGGCAGTTATAACACAATGGTATTTGTGTATCTAAACATAGAAAAGGTACAGTAAAAATATGACATGAAAGATGGAAAATGGTACAGCTCTATCAGGCTCTTAACTATGAATGGAGCTTGCAGGAATTGAAGTTGCTCTGAGTAAGTAGTGAGGGATTTTGAAAGCCTAGCACATAACTGTACACTAATGCAGACTTTATAAACACTGTACACATAGGCTAAACTAAATTTATAAAACAACATGAGATTAAATCAAACATAAGAGAAAATTATGCATTCAGAAGATGTAATAAACATGAGATGTATGAGGCTGCTTGCAGGCCTAATGGCATACTGTTTTACAGCAGATATCTATAAGTAGAAAGAGTACTAGTATACTCTAACGTAATAAAAAGTATAGTACAGTAAATATACATAAACCAGTAACATAGTCATTTATTATCATTATCAAGTACTATGTACTGTACATAATTGTATGTGCTGTGCTTTTCTATGATTGGCAATGCAATAGGTTTGTTTACACAAATATGTGAGCAATGTGTTGTGATACGAGGTTACAATGGCTATGATATCACTAGGCAATAGGAGCATTTTAGCTCCATTGTAATCTTGTGGGACCACCATTATATATGTGGTCTGTTGTTGACCCAAACCTCATTATGTGGCACATGACTATAAATGTGTAATACAATAAATATTGTGTTTGTGTGAGAGAGATGCTTAACTCATTGGTTGGTATACTTTCTAAATAGTGCTTTTAACCATCTATGCATTTTTTATACATTTAAATCTCATTAAGAAGTTGATAGATATATTTAAGTTTTATCCATGGTATTACAGATTATTTACCATAAAATTTATTTTACTTCTTTCATTAACAGGTTTTTGTTGAATTCAACATAATGATGACTTTCCAATTTAAGACATGAAGTGGAAAATTAGTAAAATGTATTTTTCTTATATAGAATCTTATCAAAGAAACTTAATCTGACTACATTACTCCAAATTTAAGAGTGGGCAGTTTAAAAAAAATAAGTGTGCATTGATATTATATAAATTCTTTTGAGAATTTTCATGTGAAAACCATTCTCAAATTACTAGATTGCATAAGGTGAATAATTTTCATTTTGATTCAATATATGTGCCATTAATTATATTTCTCTAGCAATTGGAAAAATGCATTGATGATGCTTTAAGAAAAAATGATTTCAAACCTTTGAAAACACTTTTACAAATTGATGTTTGTGAAGATGTGAAGATTAAATGCAGCAAACAGTTTTTCCACAAGTTGGATGACCTTATATGCAGGGTAAATATATTTATTTTTGTTGAATTATTGTTATCATTATTAGATAGCAGTCTACTTTCCAGGAAAGTACCATTGGAAAAAAATGAATAAAAACCTTTGGCAAACTCGCTTATAATTATATAAATAAATCTTTATTTTACCACTTGCTTTTTTTTTTAATTTGACAAGCTCCAAATAGCATATTGGACCATTTTCTAAATAAAGTATTAAAATAGCTATGTTTTCAGAGTTACCACTGGTGAAAAATAGTATACATCTTGGAAGTTTAAACAATTTAATCTCTTTTTTTAAAAGCCTATCAATATAGGCTTCTGCATGTTATATGGACAAAGTTTGTTGCTTGCAAATATAAAAAATAATATCCAAAACCTTGGACTTTGTAAGACAGGTTTATATGCAAGAAAATGTGGTTATTGACAATCTCTCCCAGTATTTGAGATTTGCTTTGACTCTAAAAGATTGCGTAAAAATTTATTGTATCTGTTAGATACCTAGAGCTTTTTAGAATGGAAAGTAACTTTGTATCATAGTCTAAAGTTTCTTGAATTTATACAGATCTGCATTTTTTATCCTCACTTGAGAATATGTTTTTTATTGCTGAAAGGGAGAAAGAAAGAAAGAGAAACATTGATTGGTTGCCTCCCATATACGTCCCAACTAGGGTTCAAAACTGCAACCTAGGTATGTGCCCTGACCAGGAATCGAACCCACAACCTTTTGGTGTATGGGATGATACATCAACCAACTGCTAGATCTGCATTTTTGTACTGAGTTTGTCATTTACTGGCTTTAGACAAGTTGCTTTTTTTAAACCACATTTTGTCGTTTGTCCTTGAAGATTAAGATTATAGCTTTCAGGATTTGTGAGGATTATAAAGTCCTTAACCAGTTCCTTGCTATTTTGTGTTAACAGATGTTTAAATGTATATTTTTCATTTCAGGAACTTAATAAAAAGGATATCCAAACTGTTTCAATCATTTTGATTTCTTTTGGAAGATGTAGCAGGAATATCAGTATTTTGGGGCAAGTTGGACTTATAACTTTGATAAAACAAGGACTAGTCCAAAAGATAAGTATAGACTATGTAACATTCATATGAGGGAAATATTATTAAAGGTGTGCTTTCTAATAAAGTAAATGCTTCAAACCGTTGAAAAATAAATTTGGGTACTTTATATAAAACTTTGAGTTACAATAAAGATTTTTATAACCTGTAGTATGTCACAAGGAAACTATTCACAGGGTCCTTGATAATCATGTGAATTTAAGGCCACAAGACTCTCTAACGACTTTACTTGCTTTATTTTCTCTTTAGCTCATCTTAATCACTATCTGACTTTATTATTTTTTAATATTTATTGTCTGTCTGCCATACTAGCATGTATGGCATTAATTTTTGTTTGTTTTGTTCGTTGCTGTATACCCAGTGCCCTGAACAGTATCTGAGATGTAGTTTATATTCAAATATTTTAATTAATAAAAGTGAAAAATACCAAAAAATTATCAAATAGTAACAGTGCCAAAATAATCTAACTTGTGATTATTTATTTTCATCTATTATATGAATGTATCTGAACAAGGAATTTGAAGGGGGAAATAAAGGTCTTCTACCTGGAATTAGTATTAACTTTATCCATTCTCATCCAAACAATGGGCAAATAGAGTGAGTTACCAAAAAAACAAAAACAATGATGATGTTTTGAAAGCATAAATTTATTTTGATACAATACTGGAATTTTCATTTTTGTTATTTCTTTATTCCTAGGTTTACTATTTATACAAATATAGATAAGTACATTCTCAAAATTGAATTTAAAATAACTAATATACATTTTTCTTTACATGGTTGCCTGGTTTGAAAAATCCAAGGAGATAATTCTGAGTCGAGGAACTTCAAAAGATGAAGCTCTTTTAAATATGATAGAAGACTTATTTGATCTTTTGATGGTAAAATCACATTGATTAACCAATGTTATAAAGCTTGTGCTTATTTAGTATATATGCTGCCTAAGCGAGCACTTTATTTAAAAACAACTTGTACATATGTCTCCTTTTTTTCCCCACAATTGACCTTCCCCCCGCCTCCCCTACCCCCCAGCACATGCCCTCACCCCCTCCCCGTGTCTTGCGTCCATTGGTTATGCTTATATTTGTAATATTTTAAACAATAAAAAAAAGAAAAGAAAGAAAAAGAAAACACAGTTCATGACAAAAAAAAATAAAAATAAAAACAATTTGTGTTCTATATGCCTTAAGCCTAAAAGACAGTAACAGAATGGCTTGTGACCTGGTTGGATTAACCTATTCAGATTGTAAAGCATTTATCTTGTGTAATGTAATTAAATAATTAGTACTTATGTGGTGAGTTCAAATTTAACCTGTTATTTTAATACTATCTATAATGGTTTATAATATAAGACAATAAAATATAAATATTATTCCTTGCTTTTCAGGTCGTATATGGCATCAATGATGAAGGTATAATGAACATTTTCTTTTATGAAACAGTAATTTGCAGTTAGAGTTTTAGTATAATTTTGCAATTCTCTTAGCAATTTTCCCAATATTAGGAATTCATTATCTAATTCGGGGATCAACAAACTTTTTCTGTAAAGGGCCATATAGTAAATATTTTAGGATTTGTGGGCCAGAAAAAAATTGAGGATAATATGTAGGTACTATAACAAGAAAGAAAACAAATTTCCACAAATGTTTTATTGGTGCAATTCAAAACATAATAATTGAGTATGATGTTTTTGTAATACAAGTATACTAATGTGAAGAATAGCACTCTTTTTTGAGGGGATGATATTTCACTTATTCAGGTTCAGAGTTAGTTTTTGCTCTAGTCAAAATTGATTATATTCATTTATTGATGCTTATATGTAATGAGGATATATATATATATATACACATATTGCATTAGAAAATCTTTTCATGCCAATAATGACAAATACTGCTATAAGTTTATAAGCATGATTCTTTTTTTTAATATATTTTATTGATTTTTTACAGAGAGGAAGGGAGAGGGATAGAGAGTTAGAAACATCGATGAGAGAGAAGTATCTATCAGCTGCCTCCTGCACACCCCCTACTGGGGATGTGCCCGCAACCGAGGTACATGCCCTTGACTGGAATCGAACCTGGGACCCTTCAGTCCGCAGGCCGACGCTCTATCCACTGAGCCAAACCAGCCAGGGCTATAAGCATGATTCTTAATTGAGCATATTCATCACTTAGAAAGCATTTATAGAATTATATTGTTATTTTCTTAATATTTGCCTTTTAAAATGTCATTGCACTGCAGATTAATCACTTTAATTGAAGGTTAAGTAGAAGCTCCTCATCTGCACAATTAAAAAGATTTTGACATATGGAAACTTTCCCTTGCACTTACATCAATGTCCAAAAATGCTGCTGGACCTGTAGTTGGAACTTGAAAAGAAAAAATATCCCCATAAATATGTGTGTGGGAATGGAGATGTCAATTCTTGTTTTAGTTTTTGACAACCCAGGAAGTACAGAAAGAAGCTTGGCATTACTTGTAATGCAAATAGCTTCATTTAGTGTCATTAAAATGACTTTACTGAATTATAAGTTTCTTATATAGCACATTTTTGCCTTGTAATTTTGGGTTGAGGTCATTAAGAAACATTATTGACTCTGCAGCACAAGCTATTACCAAAATCATTCACTGGTAACTGAAGATGGCTAAGTTCATGAAAGTAAATGAAATTCACCTTGATGCTACTAGTTCAATAAAACATGATAGATTCAAACATTTCCAGAGTACTTGCTGATGAAATGTATTATTCATCAGCGGTGGGTTGAATTTGGTTCATGGGCCATAGTTTGCCAACCCTTGAGCTAATGGAACAAAATTTTCAATAGTCCACTGAGAACTCTTCCTTTCACTTATGGCTAGCAGGTGTCTTGTGAAAAGCAGTCAGTCCAAGTTATGTTTATCTCTGTGTTGCTTGAGAAAGAATTAACTAGAATTGGTAACTGAGGCTGGTGAATTATTTATACATAAAGGAACAGCTGCTATTTGCAGCCATCAAAGCCAAAATGTTAAAGATCAGTTGCTATTTTGTTAGCTGTAATTTAATAAAAATTAATGGAGATTTCCCTATAAGATGGAAAAACTAATAGACTTGCTTTTTATGTAGTCACCTTCTCAAAATAAGTTCACATTTTGAAAAAGTTTTAATTTGTCCCTCATTTTTTAAACATTTTTTGAAAATGTCTTTGAAAGACTATATGTGCTTTTTGTTGAACTACTATATAAAAGAAATCATATGATAGTTGAGAATTACATAGATATAAAATTTTAGGCCATTGATCATTAGCTAAATGTGGTTGTTTAGATATCAAAATTGTTTACTATGTCTTTGAGACCCAACTTCTCTGACCTCATTTGGAGACAGTACCTCATTGATCACTGTTACTTTGCTCTCTGTGTTAGCACTTGCCATCTCCTCACATTGGAATGATCTACCTCAGATATGCTCATGACTCACTATTGAATTTATTTAGGTCTTAACCTCAAAACCCACTTTAAAGTAGCCTTACTAAGCAGTTTTCTCTAAAATATACCCATGCATCACTAAAAAAAAAAAATCAATTACTGTTTATTTCAATACTAGCTACTACTTTTTCAATGATTTCTTTGCAATCTAGCCTGAATTCTTACATTTTTAGGGTAGAAAACAGTCTTAAACCACTAGTGATTATAAAGTGATCTAACAGGGTTTTTTTTAAAAGCAAATTATCATATCTTTTCCCCTAATTGAGTGATTTTTTTAATGTGGTCACTTTGGAATGTTCTGTTACAGTATTGGCATTTTTAAAAATTATTTTTAAAATTTGTATTATGAAATAGCATGTGGAAAATTTCTTTAAATATATTTAGTATTGATAAAGCCTAGTCTTTTGAGAATACAGTTAGCTTTTAGGAAAGCTCAGAAGTATTGATGGCTATTATGGAATTTTTGAGTTATTAGTATTAATGAGGTCAGTTTTCTAAAAACCTCAATATAGAAGTTTACACTTTTGAATGATATTTATTTCATCCAGAAAAGTGCCTTATGTGCCTGAAAGAAGAAGCTGGATTTGGATTTCTTTGCCAGAATTCAGTCACATCTGTTGGTTTTGTGTGTGTGTTTTTTTTCCAAAGCCACACACATAGCTAGTTCATAGCAGAACCAGGACTGAATTATATGCTTCCTGATGCCCAGGCCTGTCAAGTCGACCTTCTCAACTGAACCAGTATTTCCTTTACATTAACTCATATAAGTAAAGACTGTCTTTTAAAAGAATTTAAAATACACATTTATCAATAATTTGACACTTTTATTCAGGTAAAAAGCAAGTAGTGGAAAGTTTCATACCTCGAATTTGTGTCCTGGTTATTGACTCAAGAGTGAATATTTGTATTCAGCAGGAGGTAAAGTCATTTGTTAGATTTTTCTTTTGAAACTTAAAAATGAGAAAGAAGAAAACTTGGTAGCAATTTATCAAATTAAATAATCATTTTATCTTGGCACTAAATTATTTATCATGTAGTATATATCTGTTGTTTTAATTCACTGCCTGACATGATGAATATGTTACCTATTTATTGAAAATGAATAACCATATTGGCTTATGTATACATATATCTCACATGAAAATAAATGATACCATCTAATATTAGGAGTTCTTAAGTATTAAATATTAAAAATAACCTTAATAGTGTGTAGATATTTGTACATTTGTATAACCTTAAGAATAAATATTAATAAGTTAATATTTTTACCTTCCTAGTTCGTAAAGTGATAATAAACATATGTTGTATTGCAAAGAGTATAACTATTTTAGTATAGAAATCATGGTATATTCTTTTTTATTATATTATACATGTTTTTTTGTATTCACTATTTTATACTTTACTAGAGGCCAGGTGTATGAAATTTGTGCACTCGGGTGTGTCTCTCAGCCTGGCCTGTATCCTCTCATAGTCTGGGAGCCCTCGGGGGATGTCCGACTGCCGTGGAACCGCTGCACCAGCCAGCTGTGAGCCCAGCTCAGGGCTTCTGGCTGAGCGGCGCTCCCGCTGTGGAAGCGCACTGACCACCAGGGGGCAGCTCCTGTGTTGAGCATCTACCCCCCTGGTGGTCAGTGCACATCATTGTGACCGGTCATTCCGCCATTCAGTCTGTTCGCATATTAGCCTTTTATTATATAGGATAGTCTTTACCTTTCTCCATTCCCTGCAAAAAATCCTATATAGTAAAAGCCCAGTACCATAATGGTGTCACGACCAGAATGACTGCTTGACCAGTCACTGTGAGGTGCATTGACCACCTCTCGGTCCCTCCCCCCAGCCCACAGGCTCTAATTGCAGGATAGCGAACGGGGAACCAGGGTGGGGGTGGCGGCAGGGCAGGACTGGGGACTGGAGAATGGGCAGAAGATGGCCGTGATCGCAGGCTAGGCCTAAGGACCCAATTTTGTGCACTGGGTCTCTAGTGCTATGATAAAGAAAAAAATAGGCTTCTAAATTTATATACCTAGAATATTTTTCTAAAGCTGTAATGTTTCACAGAATATAAAATATTGATGGCTTATCTTTTTTCTTTTCTTTTCTAGACTCTAAAAAAAATGAATGCTATGCTTGACAAAATACCTCAAGATGCCAGGAAAATACTCTATAACCAAGAAATGTTAATTCTCATGTAATAATTTCTACTATATTGCTTTAATTAGTGGTTCAAGTTAAGAATTTAAAGGATGCTTTATAAGGCAACCGTGAATTGCATTGATAATTAAAACTCATTAAACTGTTGTAGGTTTCTATTATAATTTATGGATATAATTTCTGTAAAAGTGTGATACTAGCCAATTGTAAATTTTAGTGAAGTCCCTCCCCGCAACATATAGGCTTTCTATTTAATTTATATTAGTCTAGTATATAATCTATTCTTTTGATTCATAGGAATAGTATGGGAGAAAGGATTTTAGATGCTGGAGGTAAGTTTTTTTCAAAATGTTTATATTTGAAGTTATTATACACATAATAGAATCGTTTTAGTCAAAATATATTAACATTTTAATGTAGTGAGATGTGAGGGGATTATAAACTATAGTCAAGCAATTTTAATTACTTTAACAAGTAATTAAATGACAAATATTTTAGTAATTAACTGAAATAATTAAGCAGGAGTTAAATATAATTTGTACCCAAGTTGTAGATTTATGAATAATAACTTAATTTTCCAATAGATTTTAATTACTTTTGCTAAGAAGTGCCTCAAATGGTATTTTATGAAGTTAGGAGGTTAAATATTCCTGGGATTGATAGATTTATTTTTAAACAATGTGTTTATTAAAAGAACTCAAATTTTCTTTCCTAAGTTTCATATTAGAAAATTTTGATCTTGTGATTTTATCTATAGAATAAACTTAAAGTACTTTGGAATAACTTTAAATGTCATATTACACAAAAGGAAAACAAAGATTCTGTGATTTATAGGCCATTGAGTTGTTTTATAGTTCACAACTCTAATAATAATGGAATGCATAGTCTTTGAATATTTAGGAGTATCTCTTAAGTAACCTTTAGAAATTTTTTTCACTCTTGTTAGTAAGCTTGTTATTTGGGCTGTATTCATTTCTATAATAAGGAGCTAGTTTTAATTCATATGAAGAAATGGCAACAGATAAGTAATTTACACTAATGTTTTCTTTATCTTGCTAGTTGTAATACCTTATAAGATATATTGACATTTATAAACTCTTAATTTTTATAATTTCAAATAATACATTAACTTTTTTTTCAAGATTATGACTTACAAGTAGGTATCGTAGAGGCTTTATGTAGAATGACGACAGAAAAACAAAGACGGAAACTGGCATGTCATTGGTTTTCAATGGATTTTATTGCTAATGCATTTAAAGGAATTAAAGACTCTGAATTTGAAACAGTAAGTAGTATAAAAATCTACACTAATAAAAGAGAAATATGCAAATTGACTGTGCCTTCACGACGCCCACCAGCCAATCAGGAATGGGTATGCAAATTAACCCAACAAAAAATGGCGGGTTAATTTGCATACACAGGTGCCGAGTGGCCAGGGGTGGGGCGGAATGCTTGTATTGTGGCCATGGCGACGACGCAGGCATTCTGTACCGCCCCAGCCACTCAGGGCCTCTGGGCAGCATGGGAAGGTGAAAAGACGGCTCTAGGCCGGAACGAAGGCAGAAAGGTGGCTCCAGCCAGAGCAAAGGCAGTGCCAGCAGCCAGGGGAAGGAAGGCTCATTCTTGCACGAATCTTCGTGCATCAGGCCTCTAGTAAATTAATAATAGCTTTTGAAAATTAATATGCTTTTTAAATATATTTTTTATTATTGACATTATTACAGGTGACCCCCATTACACAGTCCCTACCCCAACCCACTATTGTCTGTGTTCATGGGCTATACATATCCTATATAATAAAAGCCTAAGTGGCGTCACGTGTGATGTCATCACAAGATGGCCACCCTCAGGTTGTCGCAAGATGGCCAGCAGGGGAGGGCAGTTGTGGGCGATCAGGCCAACAGGGGAGGCAGTTGGGGGTGACCAGGCCTGCAGAGGAGGGCAGTTGGGGGAAATCAGGCTGGGGAGGCAGGGGGTGACCAGGCCTGCAGAGGAGGGCAGTTGGGGGAAATCAGGCTGTCAGGGGAGGGCAGTTGGGGGCAATCGGGCCAGCAGGGGAAGGGTTAGGTGTCAATCAGGCCGGTAGGGAGCGGTTAGGAGCAGTCAGGCAGGCAGGTGGGTAGGCGGGCAGTTAGGAGACAGCAGTCCTGGACTGTGAGAGGGATGTCCAAAACCGGCAGTCGGACATCCCCCAAGGGGTCCCAGATTGAGAGGGTGCAGGCTGGGCTGAGGGACACCCCCCTCCCCCATGCACAAATTTTATGCACCGGGCCTCTAGTAAGTATATAAGTTCTTTGGCTAATCTCTCCCTGTCACCCCCCTCCCTCTGAGATTTGTCAATTTACTATGCTTTTTAAAAGTCTTTCTTTTTTTAAAAAAATTAGGATTGCAGGATTTTTCTCAACCTTGTAAATGGCATGCTTGGAGACAAGAGAAGGTAAATTTAATGCAGATTATTTAATCTCAGGAGTAGGCATGTGAGGCTGAGTGATGTAAACTTGTATCACTTTGATAATGACAGAAGAGCACAGTATTTGCAGTGCCTGGCACCTTATAGGTGCTCAGATACACTGGATGTCTGAGTTCACATTTTCTTTACTTACTAAGGAAATGAAAAATAGGTTGAGGGGTAAGTGCAATGAGTCATACTATTTGGATTTGAATCATAAATTTCTCTCTTTCTATTCTAACATTGGGCAGATTATTTAACCTTACTCGCCTTTGTTTCCTTATCTGTAAAATAAGAATATTAATAATACGTACTTAATACGTTTGTTGTGAGGTTTAAAGGAGATAATTATATGGGAGTACTTGTAATCATATCTGACCAAGGAAGTATTCACTGAATTCAGCCATTTTTATTAGGAGTATTATTCACTTCTCTTCTTTTCCCATCTAAGGTCTATGGGAACTTTCATTGTATTAATAGTATAAGCTAAGATGGGAATCTCTGCTCAGAGTCAATAGCATGGAATGTAATAGCAATCTCTGCTCAGAGTCAATCACTTTAGACATAATGGTAGTTTGAGTAGTACCCTCAAGATAATATGCTTTCTCTACAGAAATAAATTTTCATTAAGCTCTTTTTTAAAGTAATAAAAGAGATATGATTTTATTTAAATTGTTTTGACCACTGCCTGATTTTCCTTTGATCCTAGGCATGATTTCTATTGCTAGTCAAGCTTATGCTGTTGTAAAGTCTGATTAATTTCTTTCTTTACCTCAAACTTCTTATTTCAGGGTCTTTACATTTCCTTGTTTATCAGCATTTCTTGATAAATATGAGGTAAGTTTTAAATTAACATGTGTTTTAGTTATTGGATAAATTTTGATGGAAGAGCCAAGTGAATTACAGATTACAAAGTGACAAAAACTTTAACAATAGTCATAATTAGATAAAAAATACAGCTGGTCTATTATTCTGTATCTGAAAGACATTTTATAACATGGCATATTTGTAGCTGTAGATAAATGAAATACAAAAAGCTGTATTTCAAATATTTTTCTGTTTCCTTAATTTCATTATTGATTTATCATTCATGAATATATTCAAACTAATACTTTCAACCTTTATTTGCAGTTGGAATATTCTTGATTGAGCTAGCTAATTTCTGTGTATAATACTAAGCATTTTTTTATTCTTTCTAAGTTTATTTAAATGCAATACTTGTCTCCTCTATGTTCCCTCCCCTTCCATCTATACTCTTTTAAAAAACAACAACACTCAACTATGAATTACATGATCATAATTCTCCATTGTCACTTTTAAAAGCATAGGATATATTAGTTTTATATGTTTATTTTAGTTTTATATGTTTATTTTATTAGCTGCAAATACCATCAGATGAAAAACTTGAGGAATTTTGGATAGATTTTAATCTTGGGAGCCAGACCCTATCATTCTACATTGCTGGAGATGATGTAAGTTTTATTCCCTTTGTACTATTTTATATGTATGTATATGTATATATAAAATGTCCTAATTCAAACCCTATCGGTGTGGCTCAGTGGTTGAGTGTCAACCCATGAACCAGGATGTCTCAATTTGATTGAGGGTCAGGGCACATGCCCGGGTTGCGGGCTCGATCCCAGTAGGAGATATGCAGGAGGCAGCAGAATCAGTGATTCTCACTCATCATTGATATCTCTCTCTCTTCCTCTCCATTCCTCTCTGAAATTAATAAAAAAAAATATTTTTAAAAAATGTCCTAATTCAATTCAACAATGTAGCCCTAGCCAGTTTGGCTTGGTGGATAGAGCGTCAGCATGTGGACTGAAAGGTCCAGGGTTCAATTTCGGTCAAGGGCATGTACTGAAGGCTCAATCCCTGGTCCTGGTCAGAGTGCATGTGGGAGGCAATCAATCAATGTGTCTCTTTTACATCAGTGTCTCTCTCTCTCTCCCCCCCCTTCCCTTCCACTCTCTAAAAATCAATGGAAAAATATCCTCGGATGAGGATTAACAAAACAAACAAAAAACCAATTTAGTAATATTGATTTCATTGTGTATTTTATAGCTATTTCAATATATTTCAGTGTTATCTGAGTGATTTCTATTAGTATGGTAATGTATTAAGCTAATCCTATCTAATAATAGACAAACATGGTAATTAACCATACCTCCGACACGCTTCCCATTGGCTAATCAGCGAGATAT